CTCCCCCACCCCACTTCACTTTCGGCAATGGCTCCGACAACCATTCCAACGACCTCTCCGGCGAATATTTCGGTGACTGCTCCGACAACGGCTCCGGCGAATATTTCAGCAAATATTTCGACGACTGCTCCGGCGATAGCTCCGACAATAATTCTGACGACCGTTCCGGCGACTATTCCGATGACCAATCATGTTTCCAGTGACTACTCTTTTACCTTTTTCTTCTTTTTTGGCAATAACCTGTGACCAATTCCATTAGAATTGTGACATGTTCACATTGTGACCTTTGACTAGTTTTATTGAATCTGTGACCTAATCAAGTGGGATGAATATGCATATGATCAATTTCAAAATTAAGAAAATAAAGTTTGAAATTTCAAAAATCAAATACTATTAAAATTTTAGTTATGAAATAATTAATCAAAAAATATTTTTGTAATTAAATATATTAAATTCAAAAATCTTTTTTCTTTTTCTGGGCAATAGCTTGTGACCTATGTACATTGTGACATATAAAATATGATTTTTAACTTGTGATTTGTTACCCGTGAGTCATAACATAAAATGTGATCTATAAAGTTACAAAATGGCATGTAACCTGTTAATATTGATTTGTGACCTGTTCAAATTGTTTGTGACTTATATGAAACGATTGTGACTTGTGAACTCAAACCTGTGACCAGTGAACTGTGATCTTAACGATGAATTGTGACTCGTAACTTATGAACTATGACCTTATGTGTTCATGACCAAATTTATCTTAGATGTGACTATATGTGACCATGTTAATCTAATTTGTGACTATATGTAACCAAGTCACATATGATCACAGTTAACACAAATCTGATCATAGGCAGTCAGCTACTCACAATGAAGATAGATTTGGTCATTCACCACCTTCCCAACACCAACAACCAAACGTACACCACCTTACCAGAACCACATGTACAACTAGCAACGGAACCATTGTCACGGCACGGCACAGCACGACACCACACTACACCACCACCAATACAACATAACAACATCACCATCGAAGCCAGCACCATGACCAAGACCACCACCACCAGATTCAATAAAAATCGCTACAACTACCATATCCACGGCCACTGCCACCAACCAAAATTAGTCACCCCCATTCCAAAAACTCAATCTCACCTTAGTATTCCTAATTCTCAAGATCATATTCTATCTATTCTACAGTATTAAAATTCATTTTAATATGAATACAAATTTCCCATTTCACTCTCAGATAATCCAAAAACACATAAATAATAATGACTACGTTTTCGTATTTTTGCTTTCAAGCTATCAGATCCAAAAATTACACAAAGCTCCTGTAAATCATTTTTTAAGTAAAATACAAAAAGCAACATAATTTCATTAAAGCAAACCTATCAATAATCAAAAAGAAGAAGGGGAAAAAAAAGGAAATAGTAGCCATTTACATACTACTAACAACATTAAATTAAAAATTCATTTGGTAACATTCAAAAACCTAATTAATTTTCTTAAGGAAGATAGAATATATATATATATACATACATACAATAACGTGAACACAAAATTTCAGAAAAATTACCTAGAAATTGAGATCTGAGAACGTCAGGATTTTTTTGGTAGAGGTGTGTAAAAAAGCCCGATGATCATAGGAATGTCATTTTCGTCGATGGTGAAAGATGAATTGATCATTGAATTGAATTTCTTTTTCAGTTTCTTCATCATTCCCAGTAGAACTGAGTGGTTGCTTCAGATCTTACCCCCTATTTGTTGCCCAGATTAGTAGTGCCCTTTTGCCCCTTTCACCATATCATCAGCGACGATGTCGACACTTACACAGTGGTCGACGTTGCTTGGTCTTCCGACAAAAAGGAGCTAGTAGCGGTGCCTCGTTGCTTGCACCGACGCCGGAATATTGGGGGCTTTGAATCTTTGAAAAACTGACACCATGATATAGAGAGGCAGTGGCTAGAAAGGGAAGAGAAATAATAGAGAATGGGGAAAATTGATTAGGGCGTAGATGGGTTGGAGTCAGGGGTGTTTATTAGATTTGAATTGATTATATTTAATAAATCCTAATTACCACCTGAGATTTGAAATCTAAACTAATTTAACTTATTTATGATAATTAGTCTATAATTGTAGGTTTCTAGGTAATTTTCCCAATTATTAATTATTCCAACAATTTTAACTTCCAAGATATCAAACTTGAGCACAAAATGCTTAATACTAGACCACAATATTATCCAGAATTGATGGGCCAATATAATTGTCCAACAACTGGTATAAATTGACCAAAAAAAAAAAAAAAAAGGGGTCTGGTCAAGATTTTTGCCAAAAATTTTAATTCATTTTGTTTCCGTTATATAGTGAATTCGGCCGCGACATTTGATTGAATTAATTAAAATGAACAATGTGCCCAAATTAATAATTTTCTTATTCTGCAGATGGGCATTTCTAGTATTCGACGATCTGTGCAATCAATAAAATATGCAGAAATGGGACCCACCCTTGTGTCCAACATTCAAAATGTTGATTAAAATCTTCACAAAATCGTAGCTAGGCAGGGGTGAATCTTGATCAAGACATTAATCCAACGGAGTTCCTTATACTGTAGCGGTGCATTTTGTGATGGGGGTGCTTGATTCTGCCTGCTCAGTTCTTGTACCGTTCGCAATAAATCACGCATCAAATTCGTATTGGTAAGTGATGTCATTTCCTAAAATTTTATATTAAATCACTCGTCACATACTAATATCAAGCCTAATATGTTATACCTATATTATCATGATACATTTCATAAATTTAACGGGAAAAAATGCATGTCTTAAAATTCAAAAGCATGCAATTTAAAAGATTTAAGTTGTACAAAAAAGCTTGAGTAAGTTCCTTTATTTTATGCCCTTTACATACACCTTAGAGCCGTTAGAGGTATTCGATCAGTGGTCGTTGAGTGCCAAGAATCTTTTATATTATTATGTTTCAGAATTTTCCAAAAGATTTACATAATTTATAGACTTATATGTCCCTTTTTAAAAAAAATAAAAAATAAATCATTTAATTATTGACAACTTCATGCAAAATTAGACATAAACACACCAACAATTATGATATGAAGAATCATGAAAATTTACCCCTTGCTTGAATCTCATTTTAATGAGATTCCTCATTATACATCGGTAGAAGAAACACTAAAAATTTTGGAATTAAACCACACGACCTGCACAGATTACCACTAGGATTATCGCACCCTCACATGGGTGCGATATTATTATTATTATTATTATTATTATTATTATTATTAAATTCCCTCGTCGTCAGTGTTCACGTGAACAATGACTACCCCCATTCTTCAAATTTAATTTACAGAAATAACCCTCCCAATTGGTAGTTGGCACTACATTTAACTAAATTGGCAATTTGAGAAAATGGAAATTGGTTTCTGCCATCACACTTAGTCAACAATCAAATATATTTTTCCTTTTTATAATGTATTACAGAATTTTATATACTACACTCACTGTTCACGTGAAAAGTTTTAATTTTCTTTTTTTAATTTCCTCCCCATCGCTGTTGACGACCCATATAAAATTGAATTTAATATTTGTATCAGTTTATTCCCCTACTTTTTTCAAAATATAAGATATATCGCACATAAAATAATTAATTCTACCCTATTAAAATTTTTGGGACTTTACAATTATAGCACAAGTCGAACTAAAATCGTATTTAATGTTCAATTGAGCAACCGTATCTTTGTGCAGCAATGAACATATTTTAACTTCTTCTATGATATCAAACTAGAGCATAAAATGCTTAAAAACCTTGCTATATATAAAATGCTTAAAAACCTTGCTATATGTATGCCATTATGTACATTTTAATTTACACTTTGTCACATGACATTATTCTATTGGACGGTCTAAATTTCAAAAAAAAAAAATTCTATCCAATTGATACTTGATAACAATACAAATCTCAATCAAAGTATCAAAAATCAATATACAAAATATAAAATAAAATGTATACAATAGTATACATATAGCAAAGTTCAGTTCAATGCGTAATATATGACCAAAATATTATCCAGAATTGATGGGCTAACATAATTTTCCGACAACTGGTATAAAAAAAAAAGAAAAAAAAATCTGATCAGGATTTTTGCCAACGATTTTAATTCATTTTGTTTCCATTATACGGTGAATTTGGCTGCAACATTTGACTGAATTAATTAAAATGACCGATGTGCCCAAATTAATAATTTCTTATTCTGCAGACGAGCATTTCTAATATTTGATGATATGTGCAATTAATAAACAGTTGTACTATAAGTACATCATTTTTTACGATTCTCTCACATATAGGAATAGAGCCCACAATTAAAATATTTACGAGCCCCACATTTTGTAAAGGAGCTGTATATATATGTAGAGTACTTGATGGTGTACATATATCATTTTCCACTAATAAAATATGAAGCCTCCTTGTACCCCATTACATTGTGTATGTGAGGTGACTGTGGACAATGATCTGTACAAATGCTTTAATTTGTACCCCATTACATTGTGTATGTGAGGTGATTGTGAACAATGATCTGTACAAATGCTTTAACCCATAAAATATACAGAAATGGGACCCACCCTTGTGTCGAGCGTTATTAAAATCTTTACAAAATCGGCCAGGCAGGGATAAATCTTGATCAAGACATTAGTTTCCCCAGTAATGTCTGCCCATTCAAGATCCATCTTCTTCCTCATTTTACACTATCTTCAATTTCTCACTTCATCCACTCCTTGTAATGCAATCAAGAATTCAAGCCCCAATAATCTTCAGTATCCATGCACTCCACCTTACTTCAATTCCTACCCTTTTTGCAATAACTCAAATCCCACAAAAGCCAGAGCAGAATCCTTAATTTCCCTCTTAACAATCGATGAAAAAATTCAACTACTCTGCAACAATTTTTCCGGTATTCCAAGGCTGGGAATTCCTCCCTATGAGTGGTGGTCCGAGTCCCTCCACGGCCTCGCCACCAATGGACCTGGGATCACTTTCAATGGCTCTATTAAATCCGCCACAGGCTTCCCCCAAGTCATCCTCACGGCCGCCGCATTCAACAGAACCCTATGGGCGGAGATTGCTTCGGCTATAGCAGTCGAGGCCCGGGCCATGTACAACTTGGGACAAGCTGGATTGACATTTTGGGCGCCTAATATTAACATTTTTAGGGATCCCAGATGGGGGAGGGGTCAAGAAACTCCTGGAGAAGACCCTATGGTGGCTGCTGCTTATGCTATAGAGTACGTGAGGGCTTTTCAGGGTCAAAATAAGAGATTTTGGAAGAGACGTAAACATGGGTTTTTACAAAGGAAAGTGTGGACAAATGATTATGGGAGTGATAAATTAAAGTTGTCTGCTTGTTGCAAGCATTTCACCGCTTATGATTTGGAGAAATGGGGGCAATTCGCCAGATACAATTTCAATGCTGTGGTAAAGTTTCTTTGATCTGAGTTCCTAATTTTCTTGATCCATATTGGCTTTTATTTCTTTATATATTCTAAGTAGATCTAGTAATGAGCCGAACTGAATGACGGCAAAAATTATGTAGCAGGCTCCAAATTTATTAGGAATAGGGCTCGTTTGTTGTTATAGGGTATTTCTTCGAATTTTGGAAAATAAGTATTAGTATTTGATTCACCTGATTAGGTGCTTGAATATTTGATGTGAAAAAGCACTATTGAGATCATAGTAATCAGACTCGACTCGGACATCGACCCGATCAAGGTATCGGGTCACTGGGTTAATGGTCGGAACGATGAGTCATTACTTAAAAATTATTTAATAATTTTTAAAGTATAATTTTTTATTTTTTATTTTTGTGTTCGAGACAAAAGTAAGTTTTCAAGTTCGTTGTCACTAATATTTCTATACATTTAAATTAATGATTTTTTGAACTCATATATCCGTGATAATTGTTAAATTTTGATTTAATAATTATGTATATTATATTAAAATATATATTTTTCCCTTTTTTTCATTTACAAATTATTTATTAGTTATTGACAAAAAATTTGTGTATTATCTATTCAATTTATTTTAGTGAAAATAAATTAAATTTTGTGTAAATGTTGGACTAGTTTCTTTAAAAAAGTTTCTTGAATTAGCAAATTATTCACAGGTTAGATATAATTTATTAAACAAAAGATAATACATTGTTGCTTGCACTAGTGGTAAGGTTATGTTTTACTTACTTAGAGGTTAAAGATTCAAATCTTTGGTACCTACAATTTCAATGTAAAAGAGTTTTGAAATTTGGTTTAAAAATCAATTGGGTCGAATCGGGCTGAATCGGCCCCAAAATTATTCAAAAACCGCCAGTTGGTACCTACAATTTCAATGTAAAAGAGTGTTGAAATTTGGTTTAAAAATCAACCGGGTCGAACAGGTCCGAAAACTATTCAAAAACCGCCAGTTGGCACGGTCAAATCCGAATTTTGATCGGGCTACTTGCGTCTATATAAAATCAACTGGCTCGGCCCGGTCAAGGCCCGGGTCACCAGTTTACAGGGCCGGGCTGATTTTAATAACTATGGTTGAGATCGTTGCAAGCAAACTAGTTCATTTTATAAATTGCATGCTTAGAGATATTTAACAAAACTAAAGACTATATACACTATTATATTCAGCAACTATCAATTCGTTTGAAGTGTGATTTTATTCTGCTTTAATCATTGGTGTTTGTTGAATGACCGCGTCTAAATGTTTAAGTCATTAGACAGGAGAATTTGTCTTCAACACGCCTTATCACATTCAAGCTAGTTTTATTTTTCACGATGTGTTCATAAACGGGTGGTAGCTGAATTTGTACGCAAGATCTTCTGTTTACTATGATACCAGTTCATTTAAAAGCTTAAACTATGAAAGAGCGACAAATTTATTTATTTTTTTATCTTCAACCTTTGTGTTTGTAGACCTTGGACTGTTACGTGCAAAATGGAAGGAAGTTAATCATAAGATAATTAAAAGTTACTAATTGAACCAAGCATAAATGTGTAATTTTTCAAGTCTGTTGGCTATTGTGATACTAGATTCACTTTGTCAAAATGGATTTAGTCTGTCTGTTGTAGCCTTCAAAAAACAGAATTGAGAGTAACTAATTCCTTTATAAGAGAACATTTTTTTTTATATGACCGTGGGTGTCCGGACTAGCCGATGCACACCTCAACAAATTTTATGGAGCCCTGAAATTTACAGCCAAGTACTTACTTCGATGACCTTGAGGGGACTCAAACTAGTGATCATTGGGGAGCAGGGCCAAGGCTGTATAAGAGAACATTTATAACAATGGAAAATAAGCTATAGTTTTAATATGATGTTGAGTAAATATTTCTTGGAATAAAAGCTGTAGTTATATGCATGTATATTCAGATAACAGATCAGGATATGGCAGACACATATCAGCCACCATTCCGGGCTTGCATCCAGCAGGGTAATGCAAGCTGCTTGATGTGTTCATACAATAGTGTAAATGGAGTACCAGCATGTGCAAATCACGATCTGTTACAGAAAGCTCGAACCGAATGGGGTTTTCAAGGGTGGTGTTTTGTTTCCTGTTTTTATAATAAATACGTGAGGGATCTGATATTTTGCAAAGACTTATAATTATGTTCTGTCATACAATGCTACAGATACATCACTTCGGACTGTGATGCCGTGGGTACTATATATGAATACCAGAAATACACAAAAACACCAGAGGATGCAGTTGCCAGTGCTCTCAAAGCAGGTTTCAGATGCTTAATTTGGATATTAGTAATAACACTCTCACATAACTGTTATTTATGCTGAATTTATGATTAAACTTTATGTCAGGAACTGATATTAATTGTGGAACGTATATGCTGAGGCACACTAAAGCTGCAATGGAGCAGGGGAAGGTTTCAGAGGGAGACATAGACAGAGCATTGCTCAATCTGTTTTCTGTTCAACTCCGACTTGGGCTTTTTGATGGAGCTCCTGGTAGAAATCAATACAGGAACTTTGGACCTCGAGATGTATGCTCTTCAGAGCACAAGAAGTTGGCTCTTGAAGCAGCAAGGCAGGGTATTGTGCTTCTAAAGAATGACAAGAAATTCCTGCCATTACATAAACACAGTATCTCTTCACTAGCCATTATCGGTCCTATGTCGAATTCAACCAATTTGGGCGGTGGCTATGTAGGTATGGATATTTTACATTTACAGAGTTTTATGTAATGAGCACTTACATTTAAATACAGTTTATAGGTTTTACGTTCTTTTATTTTTTTCCCCTCATCATAGGCTTACCATGTGGACATTTTTCGTAAATGAGTTCAGGCGAGACATGACCTCATATTTTTGTTAGCTTTGAGACCATATTGAGTCAGATGATTTTGAAGACTAGGTGGGGACAAATTTAGTTATTTAAATCTTTTTCATTATAGGCTTGACAAGTGGACATCTTTCATAAATAATTGCATTCGAGCCTTGACCCTACAGTTTTGTTAGGTCTGAGAACATGTTGAATTTATCTCATTTTAAAGCATAAATTGTTGGAGAGGGGACGAATTTATTTATTTAAAATGTCTTCAACATCCATAAATATCTAATTTAACGTATGAATGAAGGCAAATTAAATCCAAAATGTGATCTTGTCAATGATTTCTCGGGAAATATTTGAATCAAGCTACTTTTCGATCAAACACCGTCGCCCCTGTCAAAAAGCTTTTATAGTTCCAAGACCTTCGAAAGGTCATGTCCTCAACATAGTTCCTTTATTGTAAATCTATTTGCACTGAGAAGAAATAGTACACAATTGAGATTGAGACCATTGTAATTCTCCAAGTCCTAGGTAATATGCTTATGCAAATTGGCTGTTTGGAATTTGTCCCTTTTGTAGGAGTTCCATGTGAACTAAAAAGCATTCTTGAAGGATTCCAAGAACATGTAGAGAACACGTATTATGCTGCAGGTTGCGAAGATATACCTTGCAATTCAAGCTCCGGTTTTGCAGAAGCTCTGTCCATTGCTACAGAAGCCGAATATGTAATTATTGTGGCTGGACTGGATTTATCACAAGAAACGGAGGACCACGACAGGTATAGTCTTCTCTTGCCAGGTTATCAGACGGAACTCATTAATTCTGTTGCTGCCTCAAGTAAGAAACCTCTGATTTTAGTTCTTACCGGTGGTGGACCAATTGACGTATCCTTTGCCAAGGGAGACCTGCGCATTGCTAGCATTCTTTGGATTGGTTACCCTGGAGAGACTGGTGGAAGAGCACTTTCAGATATTATCTTTGGACACTATAATCCAGGTTCGAAAATGCGACTTTCAGATCCTGCATTAGAATCGTGATACACTAGATAATGATACAATTTTTGAATGAAAACAGGCGGAAGACTACCCATGACTTGGTATCCCGAGTCGTTTACCAATGTACCAATGAGCGACATGAGCATGCGAGCTGATTCTTCTCGAAATTACCCTGGAAGAACATATCGGTTTTATATTGGAGATAGACTCTACGAATTTGGATATGGATTAAGCTACACAAGTTTTACATACAAAATTCTAGCAGCTCCTAGCAAACTGAGTTTACGAGGTTTTATCAAGGCTGGACCACGAAGGAACATGCTTTCTGCGAGAAGCAGCAACCTTGAATATATTCTTGTTGATGAGGTGGAATATTGCAACTCATTGAGGTTCAACGTGCAGATTTCTGTGACAAATAATGGAGACATGGATGGAAGCCAAGTTGTTCTGTTATTTTCGAGAACATCAAAATCTTTCAAGGGTTCTCCCGAAAGACAGCTTATTGGTTTTGAATGTGTCCACACACTATCCTATAAAACTGTTGAAATAAGCTTTCTGGTAGACCCGTGTGAACATCTTAGCATTGCAGATGAGCACGGAAATAGAATATTGCCGTTGGGTGATCATATTCTAATATTAGAAGACATGGAGTATGTTCTTTCAATTGAAATGTGACAAAATCTAAATTCAGTCCAGCACTCAAATTGGATTTTCATTGGAGAGTTTCTTCGTGAATTCATCTTAATCCAGGTTCTGGAAAGTGCAGATTCCTTCGATGCAACACTTTGATCATAAAAATTGGTAGCTCTACAGCATCAAATATTTTTCTGTCAGGTAACTTGTGCTTTTATTCCGATAGATATAGAGTTTGTGATTGATGTGAGTGAAAGGGTTAGCAGATCATAATTTATAAGATGATTGTACAACACATTCTACAAACCACAAATTGATTCATCTATTCGAATTTTACAAGAATATTTAATAATACTTAACAACTTTTATTCATAACTCGTTTAAGTTGCATATTTACGTAGTGTATTTTATCTCCCTATTACTTTCAGTTCGTTTTGTTATGTTATTGTTTCGGTTTTCAGAGAGTCACAAAAATAAGCTAAAACTTTGTTGATTGTATGTCTAGTTCTGTCAGTTACTATGTCCTGAGCATGTACTTGGGAGTTTTAACTTAGCCGAGTATCAAATGCAGATTTCCAAGTATCAAATGCAGATTTCTAAATGATGATAAACTATGGAAAATTGTTAGGGAACGCACATTGAAGACATGTCCAAGCCAGTTCATTTGTATGTCACAGCCCTTTAGTTCTACTGATAAAGGAAGTTCCTTTTTTCCACCTATTTGTTGTGTCCCTGGGTACTCGTAGTTGCACAGGACCCTGGACAGATAGTGGAAACTACCTGCTAGACAAATTATCGACAATCACTCAATGTGATTGGGTGAGAATTTCTTTTAAAAAAAAAAAATTATTATTATTCTCCACTCTGTTTTTGATACCTTATCTGTTTGTAAATCATTATATAATTCTATTATGTACAAGCAATATTATTCTTATCCTAATAGCTCATCTCGAGTATTTCATGATGGGACCCTCTAGTAGTACCATCAACACATTAATATGCATGCCTTGCACGTCTGGTCTTATAATTAATTTTGTAGAAGTTTAAACTTCTAATATAAAATTATTTGAATTTAAAAAGTAATCAATTTGATAGCTTCGTATTTATAAAAATTATGCAGCATTTAAATAGGAAATTAATTTGGATAATACCAAATTCTTTGTAAAGTAGCTTTTAGAATTATATAGCCTTTTAATTTTCAACCACTCCCTAAATATCATATAGCTTTGCTCACCATCAAGATTTGATTAAAAGTGTCGAAATAAGTAAGCGGCTGACTGGTCTATAACTAGACTCGATTTCTTAGGTCTATTACGAATTTTAGATCAATGTATTGAAAAATGTGGTCTGGAATCACTCATACCATATTTCAAATTTGTTTATGGGACCAATCAACTGACCTACTGGTGCCATCAATGTCTAACTCGACATGGCCCGTGCTCAACCGAACAAAATGTTACCACCTCACTCTCAAGATGACCAATAATCCCTTCTTAAGAGAGAGGAGAACGTTGACTATGATGTGAAAGTGCACAAGGAATACATCTTGATAACAAAAGGAGAAAAAGTTGATATACAAAAGAAGAACGAAAATGAAATTTGTAGAATTTGTAGAAAAAGAAGAAAAAAGACAAAGAAAATGTACAAAAATATTGTATGTTGATGTATTTTAATTTTGATTTGTCTATATATATATTAGTCTTGTTTGTGTTGCTGTTGGATCATTAATGAATGTTGCTGTGATCCCTCCATCATTTTCATCTGCTGATTTATCAATAATTTTACTATTTTATTTATGTGTATGATCTGCACATTGATGTATTAATTGCTCTACAACTCAATATATTTCATTTATATTAAATTAATTAGAAGAAGGACCACCCTACATGTATAGGGTTTTTTTATGCCAAATATTTTACAGGTACTCACATTGGTGGGGCCTACGTTAATTTTTTTTTTATACATGTGGGGGCCCTCGCTACAGTGAGGGCCCTGTATAAAACCTGTAGGAAAAAGCCCAGTACACTGGGCTTTTTCCTTAGAAGGATGCATGGGTATGTGATACTTTGCCCTGTTTTATGCCCACTAAAAAGAGATTTTTTTGGAAAAAAATGTGTTCTGAAATAGTGATTTTTCAAAGAATGTGTGACTAAAAATGTGATTGAAAATTAGCTTTAGGAAAAAATTAATGTTTTGAAGAATGGTAGACAAATAGGGACTTTATATCTTTTAAATTTTAAATTATAAACGTTCATATGAACATTCACGAATTGATGTAATTATTGAGTCCGTTGATCATTTGTAATACATACGAATGATAATGCTACTTGTACATTCAAGTTTATCACTTCAGTGACAGGATGCACAAGTGACAAGATTTCATGAGCTAATGAAATTTTGTTTTTGTCCACCATTTTATGAAATCTTGCCACGTCTGCATGCTGTCACCTATATAGTAAACTTGAGTGTATATGTAGCATTTCTCAATTACGATTAGAGCACCTCAAAATGACAAGAGGATATTATACCATGTCACCATAAATTGACGAAATATTGAGCCTTGTTTGAGCCCCATTTTTTGGAAAAAAATGCATTCTTAAATAATTTTTTGACATCATTTCAACCACACATTCAATAAAATAATATATACGCAAATTCAAAATTTTTTCTTATCTTTTAACCACACATTTTTCATCAATACATTATTCAAAAATATATTTTTCTCCAAAATGGGGTTCAAAGCTGAATTATGTGATGCAAAAGTGATACACAATGATGTCAAACTTGTCCCAATTTTGAAATTTTTGGCTTAATCATGACACGGAGAAAAGATCTGATGAAATTTCTTTGATCATGAAGGTTCGAAGATTAACTAATTAAAAAATCACATTGGACTTTTCCAGCATCAGTATATTTCATTTTTATTAAATTAATTGGAAGAATGCATGTGTATATGATACTTTGCCCGTTTGATGCCCATTAAAAGAGATTTTTGAAAATAATGCATCCTTAAATAGTGGTTTTTCAAAGAATGTGTAATTAAAAATTGCATTTGAAAATGAGTTTTTTTTTCATTTTAAAAGAATTTTTGAAAAATGGTAGACAAACATAAATGTTATATCATTTAAATGTTATATCGTGTAAATGGTGGTATTAACGTTCATGAATTGATGTAATTATTAAGTCCGACGATCATTTGTAATACACGAATTACGAACAATAATGCTACTTGTACATTCAAATTTATCACCTAAATGACAGAATGCACAAATCACAAGATTTAAAAGGCTAATTAAACTTTGTTTTTGTCCACCATCCTATGAAATCTCGCCGTGTCTGTATTCTGTCACCTAGGTGGTAAACCTAATAGTATGTGTATTTCTCGATTAAGAATAGAGTACCTCAAAGTGACAAGAGGATCAAACCATATAATGATAAATTGACGAAATATTGAATTGATTTTTCTAAGTGTTTAGAGGCCGGGTTCAGATTACTCACCAAAGAGTGGGCCCCACAAAATAAAAAGTCAAAAGTTAACAACCCCCAATTATGATGTGTCAATAGGAACCCCTACTTGTACACCAAGTGCAGCTCGTATTGAATTATGAGATGCAAAGGATGTAAGCAATGATGTGAAACTTATTTTTTGGCCCAAAATTTTGAAATTTTTGGCTTAATCATGAGAGGGAAGAAAGTTTGATGAAATTTCTTTGACCATGAAAGTTCCAAGATAAATTAATTAAAAAATCAACCTTAACAGATTTGACCTATCAAGCATCCAACCCAACATGAATCTACAATTTATGAACAAACATAACATTCATAAATAAAATGTTTATTTAGATATACAAGTTATATAAAATAAAAATTTAATCATTCAATCAAGACTGGTTTGATACTTGTAATTCAGAAGAACTCGTGCATACTTTTTAACATAATCTCAAACTAGAGTACCTTTTATAGGTATTTGAACAATAAGATACGATATATAAGCGCAAGAATTCAATTATTAGTGTTCTAAGCTTCTTTGAAAAATACAGTCGAATATTGATTACCAAACATTAATAAAAATTCAGCTCTTTAAATTCATGCAGAGGCCGCAACTCGCAACAAACCACTGTGCCCGAGCAGTGTCTTTGAAGAGAGTTCTCGTTCTCGGAATTACACGAATACATGAAACAAGTATTTTGGCAGAATAAAAAATTGAGATCAATGTAAACTACAGAAATTAGTGTCACTTCATAATGAGAAAAGAAATAGCCTCATTATGTCGAACCTCTAGGCGTGATTTTCCACCTCCAAGGGCAAGAATGGTTTCTCGGAATCTATGGCCGGTTTCTTCTACCGCCTGTTATAGCGCATCAACCATTGTGACATTACAGATCATATAACACACATGAGTAACCTCTTCTGATAAATTTGGTGGCAGTGAAAAATAAACGAATGAACAAATGTATCCTCAACTGAGATTTTAATGTATTTTGGAAGTACTTTTAAATTTAAGGGTTCCAATTGAAACTTTAATTGATTTTTTAAAATTCATTAAAATGTTGGGTTTTCCAACATGAGATTTTAACGAATTTCAATGAAATCTTTTAAAATCTAAGTATCCTCAATAATTTGTGAATTTATAAGAATTTCATTGATAAAGAGATTTCAAAAAAATTATATGAATTTCAAGCTTAAAAATACAAATTCACTCTTAAAATTTCATAATTTTTAATGAAATTCTTATGAATTCTATGAAAATATATTCAAATTCACGAAATTCATTAAAAATTATAATCTCTTCAAATTCATTAAAATCATGGGCAAGAATGCATGTATGCCTAATCTATGCAATGAGGGTACTTTATTCAGCAATACAGGATGCTCATGCATAACTTCATGAAGTATTTCCATACAATTAGTTCTTTTTTTCCAAATTTTATTATTAGCAACTCCTATGTTCAAAGCAAGATGACGTGTAATTAAGACACAAATTACAAATGTTTGGAATAACTCTAATTCTTTTTCGTGCCGCAATCCACATTGATGAGGACACCCTTGGAAATTGTTAGACATCATGTTGTCAAACGACCTCTCGGGCGATGATGAAAACCAATTATATCAGTCGACATGAATAACTGAACGATAAATTCAACACCGAATTTTGGATGAACCGACTTAGGGTTGCTTTACCTATTGGGTGGCTAATAATCTTTGTGGCTTGTTGTTTTTCTATTGGGACTTAACCCTAGTCAAGCCTACTTACCATATTGTGACTTACCTTAAGTTGGCGATTGAACTAATATATATATTGGTAGTTAAACTCCTTCTCCTTAGTCCCGTTTGAAAGAACTCGAGAGAGAAAGAGAACTGCTGCCTTCTTCTTTGTGATTTATCTTCAATACCAATTGCTTGAGGCTTTGTGACTCTTACCTGTGTGGTATCCATCCTAAGTGTGTGGTAGAATCAACAAGCAAAAGAGAAAAGCAACCATAGGAAGTGAGCAGTTCGACGGTTGGTCATCTCTCGGTTTGGTGTTTGAATTCAATGTTTAATGGTTAACTGAGCCCGGAAATTACTTTGAGCAGCTTGAGGAAGATCCTAACATCTGGTATCAGAGCTTGGGTAGCAAAAATTGGCTCAAAATCGGCTGATTTTCGGACATGAACCTTAGAACCCGAATTTGAAAATTATCAATTACTCACAAACCAAAGTTCGGTTGGACAAACGGAGGCCATACCCATCACCAGCAGGTCGAGGCGCTCCCGGAGAGGCGGTGCGTGGACGACGGCGACGGCGCGTGGGCAGCTGTCCGGCGACGCTGTCTTCAGGTAACTTGCTTGTTTCGATCTCCTGAACGCGCTGATATACTTTGCTTTGTGTTTCAGGTTACACAGAAAAAGTTGGACGATTTTGCCCCAGGTGCGACGCCGGCTGAAACTCAACAGCAAGCTCGTTTTTCTCCACTCTACGGACTCAGATAAGTCCGCTCTGGTAAATTGGCTTAATCCATTTAAATTCAGCAATAGCAAGATCACCGTGTGGGATGATCGTTAGGTTTTGGGGTTATCGTGAAGGGGTAATCATTGCTTGTGCTGGAACTAGGATTACTTGCGTTAATTGAGTGCTTGTTCTTTTGATTTAAAGTGCTTGGTATTTCTTGGTGGACGTAGCGTTTAGGTTAATTGTTACTTTTGCTAAGAATTAACAAGATATTATCTTATCACGCTTCCCAATACTACTTCGTGTGGTTTAATTAGTGTGTTAACCAATGATAACACATAATTTTGATTTGAGAATTTTTAACGGTAAAGGGGACTTCTCTATCTGACAAAAAAAGATGAGAGGCATATTAGTCTAACAAAAGGTGTCAAAAGCCATCGAAGGCAATTTTGCACCTGATATCACAAAAGAACAAAAAGAGGAAGCCGATGAGCTTGCCTATACCTCAATAATATTACACTTGTCTGACGCTGTCTTAAGAAAAGTGGGAAAACTAAAAATCACCAAAGAACTTTGGAAAAGACTAGAAGACTTATACTTGCTTAAATCTACACCAAATAAACTCTACCTACTTGAACGATTCTTTAGCTTTAAAATGGATCCTTCAAAGGATCTCGACGATAATTTAGATGTATTTAACAAATTGGTGCAAGATATTGTCAATTGTGATGAAGCTGTGTCTGAAACCTATAAGGCCATTATCTTGCTCAATTCAATTCCGGACTCTTATAAAGAAGTTAAAAATGCCATTAAGTATGGTAGGGACACGTTAATACCTGAAATTGTCGTAGATTCTCTTAGGAGTAAGGAGATGGAAATGAGGGCTGAAAAACAAGATAGGAGGACTGGAGAGTTGCATATGATGCGGGGTAGAACTCAATTTAGGCAAGCCAGTCATGATGGATACCAAAGTAGTGGCGAATCAAGTAGTAATAGTTGGAAAAAGAAGGGGAATGGTAGACCTAGATCAAAGTCCAGAACTAAGGCTAGAAAATGCTATGGCTGTGGAGGCACAGAGCATTTTATAAAAGATTGTCATAAAGAAAAGGGAAAACAGAAGGTTAAGGAAAGAGATGAGGTAAATGTGTTATCCTCTACCTCCGATACCGAAAACGGTGAAGTCTATGTGATCACTAGTCCAGTCGCATACACTACTGAATTAAATCTAACTACTAATTCTCACATGCATGAATGGATATTAGATTCTGGTGCGTCTTTTCATGTGACGTCTGAAAAGAACTGGTTTGAAAACTTGCAAGAATCTAATGATGGGCAAGTAGTTCTGTGTGATAACTTTACCTATACAATTGCTGGAATTGGAGATATAAAGATAAAATTTAACACATGCTTTGTGTACATGTTAAAGGAAGTTAGATGCATTCCTGAATTATCTAGGAATTTAATTTCAGTAGGAAGACTTGAGAAAGACAACTTCACCAGTAAAATTGAAAACGGTATGTTTAAAATGATGAAGGGTGCGTTAATCTCTATTAAGGGAATCAAGAAAAACGACATTTACATCACTACTGGGGAAGTGATTAGAGGATTAAACTCCTCTATTTCTTCCGCCAAAATCGATCACACACATACGTGGCATAGTAGGCTCGCACACGTAAGCATTAAAGGACTTAAGCTACTTAATGAAAAATGTGCATTTGGTAATGATTGTGTGTCTGACCTATCGTTCTGTGATCACTGTGTGCTTGGAAAGCCCCATAGAGTGTCGTTCTCCACTAGTACGCATAAGGCTAAAAGCATGCTTGAACATGTGCATTATGATCTGTGAGGTCCTGCTAGTAATCCCACATTGGGTGGGAATA